ATTATATTATATTATATTATTATTATATCATATTATTATATTATATTAATATTACATTATACATATGATATTATAATATAATATAATATGTCATTTGATCCTTTATTTCAAGAAGATTTTTGGATCACCCTGGCAGTGTTTCACCGGTGTTTGGTTGCGCTCAGTATTCAGCTTTCGGAAGCTGAAAATGTTATAAAATGTACGACTTCACAGATTGTTAAACCTTCGCCAACTTTTGAAACAGAGCAACAGCGGAAAACCGAGGAGAAAACAGTTGTGAGGTTTGATATCAAGTCCTATTCCTGAGGTGCAAAAAAAAGTTTGTAGAAAAATATTCTTTTGTTGTAGATTAGTATCATTAGAGAGCGGTTCACGTATTCCACTACCACAAATGGAGAGTCCAAGATGCTCCGTTGGAGGCGCCTTCATCGATGGGAAAATCATTGTTTGTGGTGAGCGTTCTTCTACTTATATTTGTGTACGTGGAGCTTAATTTTCTGCTGTGATTATGTAGCAAAAATTTATGGAATATTGATCTTAAGTTTACAGGTGGTTATGATCGTGGGAAGTGTTTGGAGTCAGTGGAAGAATATAATTTATTGAAGGGTACTTGGCGTCGTTTAGCTGACATGGCACAGTGCCGAGGTCGTTTCGATGCAGCTGTTGTGGGAAACAAAGTTTACGCTATTGCTGGTGCTTTCTTGCTCTAGTTTAATATATTGAGTAAGCAGTTTTCAAATAGAACATTCACTTGAATTTTTACTCGTGTTCAGTATAGGTTTTGTTCATAGTTCTTGTTATTAGGAAATGTTTTGTGATGCACTTCATAACCACTATTTATTTGTGCATGTTATCATTCATTTCATTGGTAAGGCAGTAGCGGAAGTGTCGATTTGAAAACAGTGGAATGTTATGACTCAGAAATCGAAAAATGGTCGCTGGTAAAGTCCTTACATCACGGACGCAGTCATAACGGTTCTTTTTACATTTATTAGATGGAGATTATGGGACCAAGAAAACTGTATTGAAAAGATTTGAAAAAAAAAACAATCGAGTAAGATTTCAAGCGAATATATTGAGTTTTGACATTTAAGTGAAATAGTTTTGCTGCAGAAGAAACCTCTTTATCTGTAACGAAGATTAGATTATTTGGGTGAGGTGGTTTTTTTTCTTTTGCATCTGCTTGTTTATTACTCGATTATTTCAGCTTTACTGTTAGCTGAACTTTAAGTTTTTATACTGTTTCTTGGAATTTCGAACGATGTGAAATTCAAAACTTCTTGTTTTATGTTGTGCTGCTTTGGATGGATTAATTTACTGTATTGGGGGATGTTGTGAGCAGGTCGTTTTGGATGAATGCGAGAGATATAATCCCGAATTAGATGAATGGACGTCAATAGCGCCGCTGCGAACGGCGCGTTTCCAGGTAATATCCTCTCGTTCGCAGTAGATCTTTTCAATTTATAGATGTAGATATAGATAAATAGATAGATAGATAGCTAAAGCTTCCATTAAAAATCTTTTTTAGGCTGGTTGTACTTCATGGCATGGCCTCGTGATTGTTTGTGGAGGATGCAACGGTTGGAAATGTCTGGACTCAGTTGATGCTTACAATCCGAAGACGGGAAAATGGCAAAGATTAGCTCCTTTGAAAACAGCTAGACGTGGATCAGCTGTTGCTGTGGTAAAAGGTTTGTTAAAAAATTTTCCAGTTACATGCTCGATAATAAAACTTTGCAGTTGGTTAAGATTAATTTTACTTCCATACGAACATATTAGATTGTTGTGCACTTGATAGCGTAATATGAATAATAGTTTATTTTTTTAATTTGATGCTAATTGAAAGAAAAAGCATTGTCTAGATTCACTGTTTGTTATTGGCGGTCACGACGGTACGCATTCGTTGAATTCAGTAGAAATCTTGGATGATCCAACTGGAGAATGGCGTTCAGGTCCATCACTCATTATCCCACGTGCCAATGTCAAAGCTGCAGTAGCTTCGGGTGGTGAAATATATCTTCTGGGCGGCTTCGATGGAACACAATTTCTTTCGTCTATTGAAGTGCTCAGCAGTGGTTCGGTTTATCCCAACACAAGAGATTTTTTTACTGTCATTTTTTAATGGACTAATTAGTCCGCAGAATTTAAATGCTGTAGTTTTTTCTTTTTTTTTTCTCAAGACGAAGTCAGCTGCTGTTATTTTAATAGATTTGAGATTGTTTTCCATAACATCCCTCTCCTTCTCCTCATCCTTTTTCCACTTTGTCGTATGTAATCGAGGTAAAGAAAATCTAGACTTCGCTTAATATATGTTTATATTCGCATTATTAGGGGGCTGTAATGATAGAAATGGATTTTTTAAGGATCAGATAAGAAAGCACTTTTATAGGGACTTTTGTTTTATGGGAAATTTTTATTAGATAACCTGAGATTTTTACCAACAATCTTATGGAATGAATTTGGCCGATTTTAACTTGTTGGAATATGAAAATGTTCATTTTCAGAATTGCTTGTTTGGCGAAATTGGCAATGAGAGAAAAAAAATTAAGTGGAGTGGAGAAATCATTCATTGTTGTTAATACACTTCCTGTCAGACGAGCTTGAAAATACTGGAAGTTTTATGAAAAGTTGGAGGGTATCGAAGTAGTACCAAATTATTGTCGTAGTTTGATTAAGTGCTGTTGTTATATGTTATATATTTACATTTTTTTTGCATACGTGTCAAGTGTAAACTAAAAACTTTGTTTTTCGATTTCATCTTTGTTCCCACAATTAATTGTGGAACTCAGTCAACCTAGTTACTTGGAAGTTAATTGGACTTCTGTTATTTTCGTTTTAATCAATGATCGATGAATGAAGTACTACGAATATTAATTTGTTAAGATTACTGGATATGAACACCAGAACCCTTCACTCTGGAAGATCATAAAATTGAACAAAGGAAATATGCTAGTGGTATTATGTTAACTATCCACGAAATGGAAGACATGTAACTTAAATGATTCTCTTTATATTTTTCATCATTGCCGCAATCTATTAGAAGCCCAGTGAGTAAACAGATTTTAGAGAAAAATGTACAGAGTAAAGAGAGACAGAAATGTGAAGTCAAGTGAGAATTTGTTTGAAGAATTTTTCTTTGTTAGTGTATCTGTTACCCTAGTATGGTGGGGTCAAACTGCTCTCTTATTTTTAAAAAATGAGTAAATTGCTTCAACGAAAACACAGCTTCGAGAGTTGTTAAGCGTATGTATTGCCTCTGGCATATACTTTCCCTTATCAGTATTTGTTTGGTTGATATTCAAAGTGATGTTTGTATAAAGTATTTTTAATTTTCGAGGAATTCTACTTTTAGGCTTGTAATTTGATATCTTAATTATTGTTCAACTTCGTACAATAAATATCTCCGAATGTGACAAAGGCAGTGCACGTGATCTCCACTCATGTATTCTGCTATGTGTTAATTTGCCGAACCTACTCTAAACTGCTCCTTGTTTAGCCGTCAGTTAACTCACTGCGCTTTACCATTGCGCTAATCAATTTACTACCGAAACGCTTGCATACGGAGATAGCTACGAGCAGTGATTATACTCCATTATGCACTCGTCTGGGAGCGTTATGCAATATTCTTGAGTCTGGTCAGTGAATTGTTCTGCTTTTCGAATTTCGTCGAGGTGTCGCTAAGGTTTATTTCTGTTTCTTTCTTATTCTATACAGATTAGTTATCTTTCTTAATGCAAGTATAGACTATAAATTTGCTGAACTTATATGATAGTCCGAACTGGATAAAAATCTTCTAGGTTTTTCACCTTTTTGACCCTTGTGAATTGTTGTGTGCTTTCTGTGATTACAACTGACGCATCATGCTCAATGGAATCAGACAATTTGAAATACAGGAAAGAAATACATGAAACGAATGTGGAGGAGCTTGCATTTGCTGCAACTGCTTGTTGCAATCAGATCTTTGAAAAAAAAAATGGTTAGTGTGAAATAAGAAAGGATAGTAAACAAGTATTAGTAGAGCTGGAAGAAACTTTTCCAATCGGATAGAATTATGTCGATGTTTTGAGCCTGATGCACATTATGGATCTATTTTCCGTACCAGATATGTTTTGTCCAAAAAGTTTGATGCTTGTGCCACTCGGCTTCATTTCAAATTCAACTACGAAGGTACCTTTGGTTCATACTGTTGTTTTATTCAAAGAACTGTCGGGAAGCGTATTTGGCTTCAAGAAAATTATCACACTGATTACTGAATACCTGTATGAATTCCTTTTTTACTACCGATTCCTCCATTTATTGCCTGATATCTGGATATAAAAAAAGTGGAAGTTGGTGTAAGGATTATCAGTAGCCTAGGATGAATAATTTATCGAAAGAACGCAAACCTCCTTCTCTGTGGACAGATTGATTTCGCACTGAATGAACTTTTTTCGCGACAAATCGTTTTTCCCCATCGTGTTCTGCACGAAAATAATGACTTCACGAGAAATTTACTGTTGCACATGTCTTTTTTTAATACAAATTGAATTCTTTAATTCAATTTAGATTGAAGCGCCAGTTTCATAATACTAAAGAACGAATAAGCTTTACGGTGAATCAGTTGATACATATTTGTTAGCAAAAGTTGATCAGCATTAATCAGTTTCACTCCTTCCTCACACTGAATGCTCGATTTCATAAACATATTATTGGGTGTTTGTATCGGAAATGCGTGAAAATACATGCAATCTTCTCGATGCTGAACCGTATTTCGGACATGGCCGATTATCAAAGGAGGATTTATCACGAAAGCTCTAACTATTCATTTTAATCTATCTGGTGGTTATATTTTCGTTTTCTAGGCAGTCATCCAGTTTAATATCTAGTCATTCCCGCTTCAATAATGAAACCATAGACGTCGTCGTTAGCTAAAAAAAGCTATGTTAGGTAAATTATTTTTTCTATTCATTTTCATAGTGATTGTCAGCGTTATTGTTGTACTTATTCTAACATAAGTTGTTGTGTGCACTACATTGAAGGATGACGATTCATTTTTTTAGGTCTGTTTATTGAACACATCCACACAAACGGGTATAGATGGTACAGAAGGCATAGATAAAAGGTTATCCTTGATTCTTTTGGGGCAGTATTTCGTCATAGGAAGAGGTTACAGGAATATTTTGGCGAATAATTTTTCTCAATTCCAAAATTTCAAGGTTGAATTCGGCGTTTGAAAGAAAAAACTGAATTAAACTGCTTGAAGAGTATGGAAGAAAACACTGTTATGACTATTATAACTGTAGTTCATTATGACTGTAGTTTTCCTCTGCAAATTTCAAATTTTGTAATTTCTTCAGGTCAATAACGCCAGAGTTGAGGCTGTTCAAATGTTAATCAGAAAAGTAAAATCTAAAACTCTGCAAAGATTTGGAGTAGGTACAACTTGTCTACTGATTTTTTTATGGACGCTAGGCTGGACCGATTATGTTTTCGAAAAGTCTTTTTCACAGTTCGAATGGCCACCATATATAAATGTTCGGGAACAGGTACTTTCTAGTTTTCAAAGATTTTTGGTTACAAATGTATCTCGGATAAATAAAGCAAATAATGCAAGATCATTATTCATTTTTGCAGGTACTACTAGAATTAAATGGTCGAGCAGCATCTTATGTTTATGAAAATGATTGGGCTTACTTTGAACCGTTTCATATTCCAGCATGTGAGATTATCAGGGAAGTGGATAAATTTTTACTGATCATTGTAAAATCTTCACCACTGCATTTCTTAGTAAGTTTTTTGTAAGCTTTTCCCTAGAATAACTTTATGAGATGCTACCTACATACATTTCAGATCTTTCATGGTATCAAATATCCCCGTCCTTTTCTTGCAGATAACTTTTACTAGCATAAAATATAACTTTTCCTAATACTAACACATGCTTGTGTACGACAGTTGTTCTACGAACTTAATGAAATAATTATCTGCATTGTTGCTGGATTATTCTAGACCAATTTGAAGAAAAAACTTGCGGAGGGCAGAATTTTTGTTCCTTGTTGCTTTATGAAGTATTAAATTAAATGAAATATTTCTAGAGACGTCAAACAATACGTGTCACGTGGGGCTCAGTACTTAATCATTCTGAATTTACTGTTAGGACAATATTTGTGATTGGCCGAGAACGTTCTAGTCAGGAAAATGAAAAACTGCAAAAAGAAATTAATTTACACAAGGATATATTAGTTGGTGATTATATTGACAGCTATCAAAATAATACGTTGAAGGTTTGTAATTTTTTGAATTTCTTTACGTGTGCTTCAAGTATTCTAGAATATAGATTCAGTAAAAAACTCAATTTCGAGTTCATTTTTTGGATTTTGGCTAAATTAATTTCTTACACTCAAACCATTTATTAGAAGGAATCCAATTTGGTTTTAGATAAGGGAGAAAAGTCAATTGAGAAGGATAAATAAATAGTGCTATGCAGGAAATCTATAGGATGTCTCGCGACAACATTTTCAATGGATAAAGCACGTTGAAGCCTACATTTTAAGGCTTATATGAAACTTATATTGACAAAGTTTATGTGACCTGGCGAGATGGTTTTGTGCTTTTCCTGAGACCTTTTGAAAGGATTAAGATGTAGTAGAGGTTGAATTTAATTTACGATAGACAGTCGGATTTATGATGGGCAGCAACAGACTTCCAAAATTTATTCCTACGGGTCCTCATCGATTACTGCCGCATACTTTTGTGGCTTAATAATAATTTCTAAAAAAATCAGATTCGGTTGAGGTATTCCGTGGTTATCCCCTCTGTATCCTGCATTATTTATGTAAATTATGTAAGATAGGTGGAATTATCATAATGAAAATGTTAGTCTGAAATGTGGACAAGAAAAGGCTGGAAAAGGTGAGTTTAGAATCTAAACTAGAGCACTGTCCGGATTACATTTGAAATTGAAGCACTGTTTTCATTCTGACATTTCAGTTTTTGTCAGCGGTGCAGTTTTCATTCAGTTATTGTCATCAACAGTATACTGTCCCCTATACACTTTTTGTCGATGATGATTATTTGGTTTTGGTGCAAAACTTAGTGGCAGAAGTGAAGAAATATGATGTGCATGGTCGGCTTTATATGGGTTGGAGATTTGATACGCGACCATTTAGGACCAGATTTCACAAACATCGGGTAAACTGTTCAAATTGTTGGTTAATAATGGCAGCAATTATTTCGTGGGATGTGTAAAGTCAATTTGTGTGAAGAGATTTTTTTCATTCTGGTTATGTACTGAGTTTTGCTCTAACTTGAAATGAGGATATAGATATTAAACGTAGATGGTTTGTTCATCATGTTTTAAAAGCATACTTCATCAAGTTATCAGAGTAGAGTAGGAATATCAAGTATTCGCATGTATTAATTAATTTTGCCTCCATTATCTTCCGTATGATCTTCATTGTCTGCACTTTTGATACCATGTTGTCTACACTTTTGATACCATGTACAGCAGTCTGGCTGCTAGTTTTTGGCGTTAAATTGATGTCGCATTTAGGGCTTCCCAAAAGTGCAATATCAATAGAAAATTAAAAGTGGACACCAAAATATCAAGGCTTGATTCATCAGTTTTTAATGTTTGGTGAATATAAAGTCGAAGGTGGAAATGGGGAAACACGATTTCTTTGGTTGTTTTTTGCTTACTTCACTATGTTGGAGTATGTGTTCTGAAAAATTGGATGTACTTTCTCTTGAAGTTAATCTCATCAGACTTGATGCTCAACGATTTAGAGTAAAAAAAACTTACAGTTGAATGGACTGGAACTACATGGCGGTTTAAATATCGAGATTTGTGGATTTCGAAAATAAGCGTAAACTGCTTTTGCTGAAATCGTCAATTAACCATGAAATGGAAAATGTTCATTACAAATTTACGTCTAATAACGAAATCTGAAATACGTCGATTTATGAGAAGCTAAAACTTCTGGGACTGATGTTTAACAGACCACATTTTTTGTGCGAGAGATAGCAGTTGAAACCGAGCAATTGAGCAAACATATACAGTCCGTCATCCAAGTGTGTTCACCTGTATGATTGCACTAAGATAACTGTGAAATCGACTATTGATTGGTTACAGTGTCAACTGGTTTTAGAACGAAGACGATTTCCAAAAGTTTGTTAATTAACAGAGCACTGAAGAGCGAATTTGTCCGCTATGATAGTGTGGTAGTTCTGTGCTTCTCTGTTTTGGTTGAGAGTATTACTTACTGTACAAAGAAACAGAAAGCTTGTTTTTACACGCATCTATTTACAGGTATCAATTGCAACATATCCCTTCAATCGTTATCCGCCTTATATATCTGCTGGTGCAGTACTGCTATCATCACAGACCATTCGCGAAATGTATTATGCAATACAACATACGAGGCTTTATCCCTATGACGATATTTATGCTGGAATATTAGCAAAATTATTGAAGCTGACCGTTAAACATAACAAAAACATGCGCTTCTGGAAAACAACAGTTGGTGTGGAAGAAGCAAAAATTCTAATTTGTGCGCATGGATTTGAAGGAGAGCGTCTGAATTCAGTCTATAATAAGTTCAGGGCCAAAGGAATTATATAATAAGCTAAAAGCTAAGCGCTAAAGAAGGTAAAGTCAAGAACTTTCAGAATAAATACTGTTGATTGAAAAATAAACTTTAATCAGGACTTTTAACATATTGGTTAAACTTGTAGTACTATAATATAAAAAAAGATGAGATATGGGAACAAAGTCCAGTCACAAAGAACGAAGTCAATCCCTACATTGACAATTTTTTACTCACCGCCCCGCCGCCCCCCGCGGACCATATTTTAGATCACCGGTTGGGAACCATTATTTTAAGTAAATGGAATGTATACGCAATGTCGATTACTTCTGTCAAACACAGTAACTGAAGATTAGGCAGTCAATCCATATTTCTGTGTATTTTTCTAGATATTTATGACACGTTACCCAGAAAATTCGAAAAATTCCCCGTCCCCACATCGGTGGTGAAATAGCAGAACTATTTTTAGGAAAAGTTGGTTTCAGCACAGTTAATTTCATATTGGCGATATTTGGTCTTACTAACTCGTAAATACTGAAAAAACGATGATTCATCAGACGGATGCAATAAGGGAGCCCTTCAACTGCAGTTAATCTTATGTTTTGTATGATTGCAGCAAGTTAGCTACCTCGGGGTTATTCCTTGGACTAATTGAATTTACTGTTAATTAGTTGTCTTGTCGCTTCGCTAATTTTAAAAAACTGCAGTTAATCTTATGTTTACACTGTGTGACTGCAGCAAGTTAGCTACCTCGGGGTTATTCCTTGGACTAATTGAATTTACTGTTAATTAGTTGTCTTGTCGCTTCGCTAATTTTACATTCTTTAACCGTTCAAATTTCTAGTGACATGTCAACCAAGATACAGCTCTCGTGGTGGGATACCCTTTGAATTTCTCATTAGACTTGATTCTGTTCCGCAAACCTTCATAAAGAAGCTTTGCGGCGTCTCTGTTTTAATAGGGTTTTCGTGTGATGATTAGATAATCCCGAATTGATCAAAAAGTAATGTTAAATGATACACGACGGGTATAATGTATATTGACTGGGAAGGAAATTAGATGTTACTCCGGATCATTAACCTAATTCACATTAAACTGAACTCGCCACTCGACACATAAGTGTGAATATTAGCATTTTTGAAATAATGAATTAAGTAAACAGACACTGAATTTTTGCAATTAACAATTAATACCAAATTAAAAGTTATAACCAAACAATTGAAATCAGAATTAAATTTTTAGGATTAAATACAAAACAATTAAAATCAAATTTACATCATTGCCATATGTGTTTTATATGAAAAATTATGCCTGAAATATCAAAAGTTCTTTTCTTTCTCGCAATTTCGGAACAATATAAGATTTATCTAACTTTACTGTTTTACTTTGCTAAATGCTGCAACTTTTTAACTTTGATTATGATTAACAGTAAATTCTCATCAATTAGCGAAGAAACTGAAAAGTTGATCACAGGACAAATCCAGAAACATTCTGTTTATCAACGGCTGATGTT